GCTCTGTGGGGAGCGGGACAGGGGCTGGACGTGACCTTGGGCACCTCTGCTGATCCCTGGGACCACCGAGGACCAGAGGATGGAGTGACCACGGCCATCCTCACCGGGAAGAGGATATAGCAAGGACCCGTTCTCTCCATTTTCTGCCCCAAAACTGTGCCCCGAGGGCAGCCCAGAGCCCAGCTGGACTTTTTTTTTTCTTTTTTTGCTTTATTTTCTTAACTCCTTCCGCTTGTAATAAAGACGTTTCCTCCGCAGAGCTCCTCTCCCGTGTGTTTCTGCCGCGCGTGGGGGGGCCCAGGCAGAGCCCCCAAATCTCTCTCTGCTCCTCAGGGCCCCCCCTCACATCACACCGGTCTCGGGGTGCAGCCAGTTTGGGCTCCAGGCTCAGGGGGTCCCCAGGAGCCCCCAGAGCTCAGCCCCACTTCAGGGTGAAGAACGTCTGTGGGTGAGACCCTGGGAGTGTGGGATCCTGTGGGTAAGACGAGCTTATCATTCACAAAATCCATAGCTAAACACGCCATTTCTGGGAAATTTTTATCTTGCACCCCACAGGCGGGGGTGGGGGGGGGACACAGCGCTGCACCTGGCAGCGAGGAACAGCAAACCCGGGAGGAGACACATCCCTGTGTCCCTACATTCCCCAATCCCCACATTTTGTCCCAACCGTGGAGCAGGCAGGGACGTCCCCCACCGTCCCCACATCAGGACAACCTTCCCTTTTGGAAGAACATGCTGGCTTTTCTCTCCCACACACAAAGAGCCAATTCTGCCCCAAAACGGATGTGGGCGCCTGGAGTTTCCCTGATTTTTTATTTTTTTTTAATTTTTTTTTTGGACTGGGAAACCGCAGGATGGTTCCTGGGGAGCGAGGCACATTCCTCGCTGCAGGAGGGGTGGCAGGAGACAAGGGCCACCCAAGGGCACGTGGGCTGGTGCCCAGGGCCACCCCCAGCCCCAGCTGAGGCAGCGACAGAGCCATCTTGTGAGTGACAAACCCCAGCGGGGACAACACGTGGCCTCCCTGCACCCAACAAAAACAAAAGCCGGGGAGGGATACACCAGCACGAGGCACTTATTTTTAACTGTGGTTTTTAATGCTTTTAAAACACCCCGGGTGTGAAAAAAAAAAAAGGCAAGTGGGGGTTTCTTGAGTGGTTTAAATGTCTGAAGAGCAGGCAACATTTTCAGATGTGTTTGGTGTTTGTTTTGGAAATCTGTGGAAATACCCCCCTCCTGGAAAAGAGCCAGAGGGGAGCCCGGTGGCCCAGAGGACAAGCTGGGCCACACCACCACAAAATGTTCACCTTTTCCATGTCGGGGTGTCCCCAGCCCCCCAGAAGTTGGCTCACACTCAGTGTGCACATCCTCGAGTAGGTGAACACCAGCCACGCTCTCCCCACAGCCCACTCCTCCAGTAAATCACAGCCCAACCCCATCCCGTGGAACACTGAGGTGTCCCCAGAGGACACAGACCAACCCCTGTTCCCCGGGGAGCTCCCCGTCAGCCCCACACCCCCACTACGTCATTCCCCTCCCAGGTTCAAACCCCAGGGTGGATTTATAGCCTTTTAACAGCGCTGGCCAACCCAAAGGTCAAATTCTTACAGGAGACGCTCCAAAATTAAGATCATTCCTCTAAGGAGAGCTTCAAAGACAAGCTTTAAGGGTGGCAGGACGTCAGAAGCACCCAGTGCCCAGCAAACATCCTCCCAGTGCCCTCTAGTGCCAACCACAGCGTCCCCACACCCCGGGAGGTGACACCCTCTCCCCAAATGGAACCCCAAACACAGGCACAGTCTGGGGGGCAGACGCACCACCCCACATCCATATCCTGCGTCGATACACAGACCCATCCGCAGTCCTTAATAAAAACATCAAGACCAAGGCAATGCTTCCCGCTAAATTCTGTAAAATATTAGGCAAAACTATACATCTTCCCGAAAAAAAACCAAAAGTGCAGCCCTTGCAGTACCGGAACAGCAGGATTTTTCTTGCCCGAGAGAAGCCACTGAGTTCTCTGCAGCTGTGCTGTCCTCTTCCCTCAAACATTCCTAAGACAGTCGGGGAGGGACACGGGCTGCCCGGAACACCCGTGTCCCCACCGTGTGACAAAGGTGGCTGTACACACACCGACACGTTGTGCGTAAGTTGTGCGTATCCCTGCCCTGCCCTGCCTCTCCCCCTCTCCACAGCCCCTCGCCCCTCACCTTCTTATGGTAGCCCAGCCTGGCCGCCGCCTCCCCGCGCCCGGGCCGCAGCAGCGCCGCCCCCGCCGCCCTCAGCGCCGCCATCTTGAGCCTGGCGGGGGCGGGCGACCCCGCGCCGCCCTTTTATAGCCTCGGGCGGGGAGGCCCCACCCCTCGCGCCGCCCTCGCGCTGCCTCAGGCCCCACGTTGTAACGGGGGCTGCCGTGCGAAGGGGGCGAGGGCTGAAAGTCGCCTGCGGGGCGGGAGGTGTGTGTGGGGGGGAACCGGGCAACCCCGCGCCTGTCGCTAAAAACGGTCGATAAACGCTGTTTCCGATCGCGGCACCGCTTTTACCGCGGCACCCGGCGCCTGTGCGGGCCGCGGCGGCCACACTCAATATGGCGGGGGGGGGGGGGCG